ATCAGATGAACTTCTGTTTGGCTATATAAAGTATTATCTACTATTAAGACTCAAAGAATAATCAGGCCCCACAGGCTGGCACTCAGCATCAGTAGACAAGTTGACTGTGCTTTCCTTGTTTCCTTCATTCCTCATCTGGAATTGCTAAAGAACCTCTCAACTCATGAAGGTGCCGTGAAACGATTTTTTTAATGTTTTATATAGCTAATGACATTCTTATGATGATTAAAATCACCACATTGAAAAGCTCATGGAGAAATGAACACATATTTAATGTGCAAGGCTTCAGTGTTGTGGAGTAAATAAATGTGGAGGGGTAGAGTCTGTCAGATGGGGCAGTGCAGAACACTGTGCCCTTTGGTCAGCTCTGTCCAACCTAGGAACTGAACTGGAAACAGTACTGGGTTATCTTGTGTTTGAAGGCTGCTCTACAGAGCAAATACAGATTGAATTAAGGCTGTGCATGCCATGAAACCTTGGAGAAGTAGAAATCTCAGCAGTAAAAGATCCAGAGCAGCCAGTGTTTATGAGTGCAAAACAAATCTCAGGTGCAACAAAGTGCAGCAGATTCAAGCATCCCAAAGGTTAATAAGATAACCAGTATAGTAGCACCCAAGCATTAAAATGGTGTGCAACATGCGGTGAATACATGTTGACTTCTGTGAAAACAAATACCTAGATTTATCCAGTGCCATACAAAGGATGAACAAATCTTTTCCATAGAAAAGGGGAACAGTGTATGGAAAAATTTCTAAATATTACCATCTAAGTGCTTAGAAATATTTTAATGGTCAGCATGCATTTCAAGCATCGTTTTGTTTTCCCATCTCTTCTCTCCAGTACTTAAAGGCGGGGAGGAGGGCACAGTGGTAAACCTGCCCCTCTCTTCTGAGCATTTTTCCCTTAGAAATTCTGTAACGGCACTGGTACATGTTTTTGCCGACACATTCCTTCCACATTTCATATCCTGTTTAAAAAGTTGTAAAATTAGATGCTAAGGATACTATTTTAAAGTTACTAAGGCAGTCAGAATCAACTCTGTAGTTGTTGACATAAGCTTAACAAACTAGGTAATCTGTTCCAAGTCTCGGATTGTTATTTTTTAAGAAAGTGAACAATTCAACCTTACAGATTCATTGCACAGTTTCTTAGTTATTAATGAACCAGGATTTTGGCTTTAAGATAACTATGCTTTGAATATATGTATGCATTAAATGCTAACTAAGTCAAGAGAAGCAAAGCCATGTTCCTTCTAGATAGTTTCTTGTGTTTCAAAAAGAGAGCAACTTCAACTATTTATAAACTGTAATTAAGTTTCTTTACAACATGACTCATTCTCAACAAGCGAGTCCTTTTTCTTTTGCTTTCTTATGAACTGTGTGGGAAAATTAGGGTTCAATCACTGAAGAATTTACTCAATGCTTAATTACCCATAAACAGCCCTCCAAGTTCTGCTCATGTAGAGCTTGCATAAAGACGTGATTTTCCCCTTATGGCTGTCTAAAAATTGACTTTTAAAAAATGGTCTGTAAATTGTAATATAGGAGAAAGCAGTGTTTTACTATGGTTTTGGCTTCGTTCTCCCGTCTGCTGTTTGAGTTCATCATATATTAACAGCGTGATGCTTAGTAAAGTCAAAGTAAGAAATCATCAGTATTAAATTACTTTGAGCATGGAACTAAATTAGACAGCTTTACTTTCCTGAATGAGCTAATTGTTTAAATTTTCCAAAGGAAATGTTTCTATTTCTGTGAGAGAAGGGGTAAATGGGACTTCCTCTGACATAATTTTCATTTTAAATCTGAGTTTGAGAGCAACATTTTTACCTTCATAACCAAATATTACAGCTTAACTGCATGACTTGTATAAGCTTGCTAGTTGAAGTGACTCACTTACGCAGATGAAGTTATTTTTAGGGAGATAATTTGCACTGTTTAGAAGAGAGGAAAAAAGGGAGAGAGAGTCCTACTAAGAGCTAGATCCCTCATTATAGTTTACAGAGCTCGTGAACCCAGCATCCAAGCAAAAGATGACTAAGCAAGGGGTCTATTGGTACTTTCAGGAATTTACAGACATGAGTCATCTGCTTATTTTCTGCAGACATATCACCAGGGTACTTCTGAGTCAGCTGTTATTTGGAAATAGTACTTGTATTCAACATGATACGTTTTTGTAGCTCTTAGGTAACTAGCATGCCAAACCAACAGTTTGCCTAGTTCAGGTGTTGATTTACAGAACTGGTGTGTTGTTAACTGTGGTGCGTTTTTCATGGCAAAGTATAAATGTTGTCTTGAATGTAATTACAATAACACCTTTGCCACCTTATGTATTGCATGCAGACAGAACTGATTTTTTTATTAATGCACAGATTAAGAGGCAGACTGTCTATACACTACCAGGTGAAAAGAAGGATTTTCTTTAGCAACCTGTGTGACTGTGATCAGAATTTGACCTTTTATATCCAGTGCACTTTGCCAGCAAGAATTACCAATGATATTTGCTTATTTTTTGCATTCTGTGCACTAACAGTGTCAATGGACGGGCATCCACTGCGACGGAAGCAAATTCTTGCCTTCCTTTCCTACTGCTGAAATAATAGCTGGCTACCTTGAGATATGTATAACACTTTACAACTCAAGGCTATTTCCTGTTTACTGGTCTCTTAGGTGTGGTTGTGTTCCAGAATTAGGGACAGGTTATTTTACTTCGTCTGGACTCATCCACACCTTGTATTAAGGAAACACTTGGATTAGAAAACTGGAGGATTTTAGGTGAAGGGTAGTGTTGGAAATCAGAGGCAGGTCAAATTTTTCAAAACTGCTTGCAGTTCAGGGTAATACTACTGTTGGCCTGATGTGGGATGCACAATTTTGAATCTAATTTGATTACTGATTTATCTGTTCAACATAAGAATTCCTGAAAATTTGTATACAGGTTTTGGTAATAGAACAAGAATTTTTTTTTCTGTTATATTTTGGTGGTACCTTCTTATAACAAATTAAAGTATCTCTGTGATGAGAGCACTGTCTTGATTACCCATTTAAACAGCATTTCCAGTGCTAGATACTTTGTGTTAAGAGCAAACCTTTAGTTTTAGGCAACAGGGGAAAAAGCGTTGCTGCATGCCCCATTATGTAGACAGAGTTTTCAAAGGAGAGTTAGTGAAAGTTGGAAATTCTCAGCTAAAAAGTATAATAAAACTATTACTTGAATGCTTTGGTAAAGTTTGTTATTCCTCTCATATGGTGATGAAATGCAGAAGTGTAAAGAGTTGTTTTCTGTTAAGGAGTTGGTACTTAAGAAGGAAAAAGATGCACTAGAGGAACAGACTTTAAGCACTCAGAGCTGAAGTAGTATATTTATAACATTAAAACGGAGATCCAGTCTCCTTGTTTCTTTACTCCTTTCCAAGGTGAAGTCCTTCAGAGGCTGAGGCACACACACTGTTTGTGAGGGGAGGAGACAGCTTGCTTGCTGATAAATGGCCACGTTACACCAGTGTTTTTCAGGGTTGTTATTTAGTAATCATGTTATAAAGAGGAATTTGACAGAGCAATCTTTGAATCTAACCTTTGTTAAAGCACTGATCTGCCCTCAAATTAGCAGAACTCTGCCCATGTCATTACCACTTAAGTATCTGCTGGAAGCTGGTGTGTGGGCTGAGTCACCAGTACTCTGGGAGTTGTCACGTGTGGCTCAGCACTGGGTCATGAACTGAGCAAGCGCTGTCATCCACAGTGATTTCTTGTATTTTGAGGCTGCGGCTGGAATAGCACATTTGGTTTTGTGTACTTCATGGTTACAAATGCTTTACTCCTAGAGCCTGGGGGGTAATTTAGGGAAAAGGAAGATACGGTGTGGCTGATGCACATCAGAATATTTAGATGTGATTAGAAAACCTGAAAAATGAAGGAACTAGCGGCATAATAGCATGGAGTTTGGAAAGTAAAACCTGTCTTACACTGATAACTCAGTTTGTAAACAGAGATTTCATAGGAAGTACAATTCTACTGCAGCGTTCTTTCACTGTGCAGAATTAAAGAACTGGGCTTTGAGGATAACAAAAAGTATAGTCATAGGTGCTTTATAAATGAAGTGTACACCTTTAAAAGAAATGCCCTTTATTCTGTTAATGTTGGTGTTATATTAAACATATTAGTAATTCTAGTCTGTTGTCATAACCCAATTTAACTACAAATTTCTGAAATTGAAAGTAGACCAAGAAAATATTAAAAATTAAAAAAGTGAAAAAAACCCACAGTTTCTGACCATGAAAATATATACCAGTTTCTAACTGTTGTAGACCATTATATTGTTCTGCCAGACCTAGTGGATCATGAGACAGTGATAAGCAAAGGGAACTAAAAGGTTCTGATTTTTATTTTTAGTGAGATATTTTGGGTATTAATGACTTTGCAGGGTGTTTTGGGGTTTGTGGGTGGTTTTTTTGTCTAGCAGATGACAGCAAGTTGAAATCTTTTCCAACTCGTGTGACTGAATCATTCTACATTCTTTATCAAATCATTTAACCACTTTAGGACCCAGGCAGCTGTAAAATGAGAATGATAATGCTTTTTATGTCCAAGGGGTCATTAAAATGAATTGGCTAAAGCAGATAAAGAGGAAATTGATTATTGAATGGTATGTAGAATGTATTTTGTGATTTTTTTATAGGGAAATTTTCACTATAACAGGAAAATTACTTATTTTTTTTAACAAAATAATCATGATGTAAATTTTATGATTAACCTAGAAATACACTAAAGTTTTTTTAATTATGTGCTTTACAAAAGTGTTTTGATAAAACAAAACATCTCATACAGTAATAGGTTGGAATCATCACTTGTGAGAAATGCAAAACTATATTTAAGAACTAATCATCAATTTCTCCTTTTCTATCACCTATAAACCCATAGGAAGGTCAGATACTTTCCAAGTAAAAAAGAGAGAAAATGCAATGGTGTCTTTTTATGATTTTTTTTTTCCTTTTTGAATTACAGTTGACTTACCCCTGTATTTCCCACGAGACCAACCAACCCTAACGTTTCAGTCCGTCTACCACTTCACCAACAGTGGCCAACTGTACTCCCAAGCCCAAAAGAACTACCCTTACAGCCCACGCTGGGATGGCAATGAAATGGCCAAGAGAGCAAAGTAAGTCAGATTGCCTTTTCCTAGTAAATATTGCATTTGTTACATGTGGATAGAAGTTTCGTGGATTTAACTGTCCATTTCCAGCATTACTAAAGCTGAACCTGGTTTTCTTCTCACACACTCCTAGCATTCCCTTAGGTGAGTGCAGACAGATACTTTACTAATCATGCTTATTACATTAGTGCCAGAGGACTGATCAAAAGAAGGCTCTTTCTGCGAGGCACTGTATGGGCACAGAGTGGTGTCAGTCTCTGCTCCAAAGCACTTCCAATCTAAGTGGATGGGATAGCCCCCAGCAGGAGTAATCTGCATGGTAGCAGTCAGTCAAGGTAACTCCCTGGTTTTGTGTGGGTGTTGAGGGGACCCTGAAGGGAAGCATGTGAGATGGAGAGAGCAAGGAAGAAAAACCTGAAAGAAATGGAATTCAGCTGTAATAAAAAGACATGGAAGAACAGGAGGAGGTAGAGCAAACCACCAATCCAGCATAGGAGACGGTCCTCTCAGATCTTCAGAAAGTTATCTAACAGTGTGAATATCTCTTGCTTTACTGCTTTTTTGTTGGTTGGAAAGAGAGAATCTCTGACTCTCTTCCTCCACATTTTTCCTGCAAGCCCTTGTTTCAGGCTGGGGAGGCACCACTTCAGCCTGAGTACCCTCTCTCGTTGCAGATGATAAGGCAGCCTCCCAGAGTGGTTCTGCTGCAAGGGCAAGCTGCCGTGGGCAGCGGTGCCCCCAAAACTAGATATTATCCCTGCCTTCTTATGAAGCAGAATAGATTTTACCTGAATGGAGCAATATGGGTAGCAGCCTCGCTTTAGTATTTCAGTTTTGCACAGTGTAAAAAGGTTAGAACGGCAAGAGATTTAAGTAGGCTGATTATCAGCTGTTCAGCATATAAAAGCATCAAACAGCATAAATAACAAGGCATATTGGGATGAACATTTTGAATGACAGTCGGAAGATTAAATTAAATCTGCAAATATGCATAAATAAGAGTTGAAACAAAAATAGTTCAAGCTGAGTAAATCAAATGAATGGCATGGTCAGAGACTGTAATTAGGAAATGATAGAAGCAAACAACAATTGACTTATGCATTTGTAGATTTTTATACTAATTTAAATTTTATGGACAACATCAAGTAACATTTGATTTTTGATTTTGATGCACTGTAATAGAAATTTTTTTGCCACCATAGAAACAGAATAGAAATTTTATAGAAATTTGGTTTTCCCACTATACAATTTATAGGAGCAGCATTTCTTGATCAAATGTGATTTTTAAATTTTCTTTTTGGTGTGGACTTTCTTCTTTTCTCTAGCAGAATATTATGAGTATTTTGATTATCAAAAAAAAAAAAAGAAGATTAAACAATAACTGGAAGTATTGCTATGGTGGTTTTTTTTTAATAACCATACTACAAATGCATTTCTTTTGCAGCTGAATGCTTACAAGTACCTATGTGTCATCTGCTAAGTGCATTCACTTATGAGTGGGTGTATACAAATGGACTTCTCTGCCCTGCACTTGAAATTCGAAAATATTATAGCAGTTCTCTTGAAAAGCACTAAATGTGTACACTTACTATCACGTGCATGTTTGTGAGGTTATTCACTCTTACGTTTGAGTCTCTGCATTTAAGTTCTACACTGGGTACGTAATAGGAGAAAGATGATGAGAAGCGGGGGAAGACAGTGCGCTGAGATGTCTGAAATAGCTACCACTGAGCTGCAAAGAGACAGAGAAGCTGTTCTAGTTAAAAGCGCTTCGCTTGCAGGAACAAGTAGTGATTCCTGAGTAGGTACCATAAATAAATCTGTATCAAGAAAAGTATGATGTTATGATACGTGTGAGCATATTTTAAGAAAGATTTTTATCAGAATTGAGCATCTTATGTAAACAGTGTTTAAAATATTTGCTGGGGCTTCTTAGAATAGGTTGGTGTGTTTCAACACAATGAAATAACTTCATTCTGTTTTATTTTTACTGTAGAAAAGTTATGAACCAAGTGTATGGGAATATATGGTGATATATTGGAAAGCTTTCTAATTAAATATATTAGTTCAAACACCACATCAAAACCTTCCCAGTAAAAGCAGAAAGAAGGATTCATTATTGACCCTCTAGAAACAATGTCATTCTGCTCAGCTGAAGTTAATTTAGCCTTGGTTAAATTAGAGACAACTGGTTTATGTTTCTAAATATTGTCAGTTAGGTTTTGCTTATATATAGTCGTTTTTCCTCCTATCCAAATGGTTTCCTAAGTGCTTGGCATTCTTTGGGACAAAACATCTCTTGTTTATCTTCCTAGCCACTGCTCTAGGGCCGCAGGATCTCCCACTTGACTTTCCAGTATCTGCCCTTCTTCTCAGACACTTCAGGGATCAGTGCACACCATCTTCCTCACTGGAGCTAGACACCATCAAGGACAGCTTTTGCTTGCTCTCACACCAACTGTATAAGCATCATCAAATTTGAAATAGTATCAGTCAGAGATTTCCTCATCCTTAATTTTGGCAAGCCCTGCCTCTGATTTCAGCAGTTCAACACAGCCTGCTTATTCATGGGCAGAGTTGTCATAAGTTCATGCCAAAGGGACTTTGATTCTGTGCCCAGCCTTCTCCCAGGGTTGTTGTTTTGGTTTGGTTTTTTTTTTTTTTCCAAACAGGTGAGCCCATCCAATTCTTTCAGTGCAGGGACTAAACTTGAAAGTCTTGGTATCCTTGCTTATCTTGTGGCCTCCAGCAGAAATAACCATCTCTTTTGAAGTTAGGATTTAACCCTTTGCTGTAGCCTTGAGACAATCAGTAGTAACTATAAGTAGGAGCAAAATTTGTCCCCTAAAACGCATACATATAAAAGTAGATTTTGTGCATTCATGCTTAGAGACATATCACCTGAATCTAAAAGGCAAATTCTCAAAACAGAGTATCATTTTAGCTGCCTATATTTCATTCACAGAGAAAAACTGCTCATGTTCTTGCTGAAGTAACTGAACCGATTTATGTCTGTCTGATAAAGTCCAAGAAGTCAATCTCTCTCTCTCTCTCTCTCTCTCTCTCTCTCTCTCTGTCCTCTTAAGCTGATTTTAAAAACTGGGCTCCTTTGAGGTCCTCTGACTTAGATTCCTTGCTGAGAGATAGCATCTGGTAACTGAAGCTTGCTATTGTCTTAGCCCAGGGATTGCCCTCTGGCTTGATTTAATTCTAAGGGATGAATCAAGTCCTGATTTAATAATGCGATTCCAATTGCCTCCAGATTGCTTGTTTCTCAGCTAAACACAAAATTTTAACCTATTCCTCCAGATGGAAACGGGGAAACCAAAAATATTAAAATTTTCTTACAAGCTGCCAAGATGCTGTTTCCTCTCAGTTCATATCTCAGGGTTTGCCTCTTTTAGGTCATTTATTTATATGTCTGTGGCCTCCTGCGTAAGCAGCTTCTCCAAAAGATTAGTCCTAAAATACAATGGCAAGTCTAAGAAAATACAGTAAATTATGGAAAGTTAGCAGCCTTGTTTGTGGTGTACGTGTGAAGTAAAACATCTCTGTGCGGTTTCCATGGGAAAGCTTTCTTGTTTTTTTGCTTAAATAGGCATTCAAGTGTACATAAATGGAGTCTTTAAAGAACATGCAGACTTGAAGCCTGGGATTTTATGAAGGAATACTGTAAATAAAGCTTGTTTGTTTATACAAATGAAGTACAGTTCTTAGATGCACTCTGGCCCAGTTTCTGTCCGATCCACTGCTGCTCTGTAGACTTAGGTTATACTTCAGGGATAACAAGTCAGGACTCAGTTTACTCTTTTATCCTACATAAATCCACCTACTCATCATTAAAAATAGCAGGAGGATGGAAAACTGGTGTCAGAATAAAAAGTTGCTCCAAAGGTTTGTATTCATTTTCTATTTCTTTGGTTTGCTGATAAAACTAGTTTTGAATAACAGTATTGTCCCTGGCCATTCACCAGTGTTTGCTGACTGTGGTGTTAATTTTATATATCCCTTAGGGCACTCTGAGGGTGAAAGCTTGAAAGGGCTCAAGTGCTCTTAACTGTATATTGGCTGTTGCGGTGCCGTAAGGTCAAGTGCATTTTAAGATTATATGCAGAAGCATCTTGTGTGAGCTACATTTGTATCCCCAGCACTGCCACAGCTGTGGTCTGTGCCCAGCGGAAGCATGATATGGTTAGAAAGTGTCAGGCTGGTGAACTGGGCCATAGCATTTTCAGCCTCATGGGTACCTTTCCCTTGAGTGTCATCAAATTACATGATCACGTGTATCATTGGGCCCCCTTACATGAAAGACACTGAGGTGCTGGAATGTGTCCAGAGAAGGACAACAGAGCTGGTGAGGGGTCTGGAGCACAAGTCTTATGAGGAGGGGCTGAGGGAGCTTGTTTAGCCTGGAGAAGAGGAGGCTCCAGGGGGACCTTCTCTCTCTCTACAACTACCTGAAAGGAGGCTGGAGCCAGGTGGGGGTCAGCCTCCTCCCCCAGATAAGTGATAGGACAAGAGGAAATGGCCCCAAGTTGTTCCAGGGGAGGTTTGGAGTGGATGTTAGGGAAAAATTCTTCCCCAAAAAGGTTGTTAAGCAAGGCTGCCCATGGAAGTGATGAAGTCCCCACCTCAGCAGTACTTCAAAACCGTGTGCATATGGCCCTCAGGGACATGATTTAGTGCTTGACTTGGCAGTGCTGGGCTAATGGTTGGACTCAATGAACTTAGAGGTTTTCTCCAAACTAAACAATTCTGTTATTCTACGATTACGTTTACAGAATAAAAAACTGCATTTCTTAGTCTATTAAAAGGGTATTTGAAAAGAAAAAGGGACAGTTGTTGTGTTGCTGTTTAGACAATCTCATTTGTTATATGTCAAAGACTTGCTGTTGTATTCAGTAAATTTTGAGTGCCCTAATGATTTATTTTTTTATTATTTTGACATTAACCAGTTTCAACTCATCCATTTTTTGTTAAGTCAGATTTCTTTTTCATTTTATGCA